CTGGCGGTTGTATAAACATCAGATCAACTCACTGATGTCTTCAAGGATTTCAAACTGAACCATAAAAAACTCCATTAACTTCTGACAAAGAATGCAAATTAATCGCAACATGGGGTGAGATGAAATTAAAGGCTCTATTCTAATCAATGACAAGGCAGGATGAAATATTTACTTCTCTCTCTCTCTCTCTCTCCTCTTCTCTCTCTCCCCTCTTCTCTCTGCTTCCTGTATTCAGGTTGGAGTCCACCAAGCGAGGCTACATGGTAGGTGCGAGATGGTCTCAAACTTGAGACAAAATCTGCTTGCAGAGATCCACCCAGCCACGCGCACCCTCGCCCAAATCTCAGGTGCACCCCATTTGTTATTCACACTCTCTTGTGCCAGTGGAGGAGAGCCTGGCACAGACAGATGCACAAGGAACCCGAAATGACAGCTCTGCCCTCCGGAAGTGCGATCACTACAGGAAAATCTAGTACAGCCTCCAGGTGAAATGTCTGGTGCTCCATATGGAGCAGAGAAAATTAACAACAAGATGGAAATCTCACAAACAGCAGGGAGCTGGAATTTTTTTTATGGAAAAAAAAAATGAAATTTAAAGATGAAGGAGAAGTAATAAATTAATGGGGTGTGAAAACATTCAAAGCTTTACAATACCAGGGGCACTATTTACTCAGATTTGCTTTTTTTATAAAAAAAAAAAAAGAAAAGAAGAAGGAGGAGGAGGAGGGGGCCAGGCATCCTTCCTTCCAAACTTCAAATCGTTTGATGTAATTTATTAACAAAGATCTGCAAGTGTATCCGAAAAGAGCGGGAAGGGTCTTTAGCCAGATATTCCTCACAATCTCTGGCAGCCAAAAAGCGGCGTCTCCTCTAAATGCGGCCAAGGGATTCGGCCTCTAAACCAGGAGCAGTTTAAGCACCAGCAGGGACAATTCTTAAGCATCTCTCAAAATTTCCTGACGATAAGACTGCCCTCTGCCACCTTTTATCTAATCGAGACAGTTGGCATCTCTGTAAAGGAAAGAGGCGACTTTTATTTCCTGCAGGTTTCTCCAAGAAACCGGACCCTTGCAAGAATCCTGCACAACTCCATACAATACAGCCCTAGCAGAGTCCCCTCCCTGCTGGACCAGGAAAAAATTATGTCAAAACCACCCTGGTACCACAAACGCAGAACCAGAGATTTGGGGGCCAAAATAGAAACTAATTTCAAAAGGATGATTCTGCAGTTGCTTAGATGATTGACTCAACATGTAGAACATGACAATGATCTCTGTCAGGACAGAAGGATTCTTCTAAATCTCTTTTGGGGGGAACAAAAGAGACCGGAATTTAGAGGAGCTAAAACTGCCATTCTTTCAGAACATTTTTTTTTTTACCCTTGCCAACAAATATGTGACAAGGACTACAATTATAGATAAGCACCAAACATCTTCGCAATTTGCTAGTGGTTTAGCAAACTGTGGCCGTTGCTTGTAAAAAAACACCTGGCAGTAGCAGCGTTTCATCTAATTATCACAATATTGAAATGTTTTCCCTGCAAACTGACAATTGCAAATAAACTGCAAACGAAAAAAAGGACAACAACATTCGCCCTACATCAGCGACAGCGTCACCCTAATATAAATGTTTTGACATCTTGTTTTCATGCCTAGGAACAAGGAGCGCATCGTAGAGGAAGCAGACCCAGAATTTTGCAGGGAGGCTTTCCGTGCCCTGGGCGCTCTCCCCCCGACACTGGAGGCTCTTTATTCCCTCTCTCTGATCTGAAAAGCAAACAGCCTGGTAGTTTCTCTGTCTGTCACCAAAACAAAGAACAGATGGAAACGGGGCTTCCTGCCCCAAAGAGATTCACTTCTAGCCTCTTACACAGAGCAGGCGAGAGGAAGGAGGTGGATGGATTCAGGGGCTCAAAGAGAAGTCGCACTTCACAGAGCTGTCACTCACATTCTTTCCAAGAGCTTTTTGGCATTTCTACACTAAAACCAAAGGGTTTTTTGGGTGTGTGTGTGTGTGTAACCTACCCCTATGTTGCAGTTCAGCTGGCTGAGAAGCCCGAGGATATTGCAGTGCGATCCTGAAACACGACTGTGATTTTCGCTCCCAGACTGAGAAAACTGTGGTACAGGGAGTCCTTGAGTTATAACTGGCCGCTTCGAAATTATAACAAATTCTGGAAAAAGGAACTTATGGCCTGGATTTGGAATTCTGAAGCCCCCCCCCCCCAGTCATGTGACTGCATTTGGGGCGTGTGGTAACCGGCTTGCATTGACAGCCATTTACAGAGTCCCGAGGTCACACGACTGTGGTTTCCTTTTTTTTTTGTCGTCTTAAACCGGGGTTTACTTCCAGTTTCTAGACAAAAAATGCCCAATGCAGACAATGGATTTGCTAACCACGGCGTTCACTTTACAACTGCCATGTCCGCTTAAAAGGCCTGTAAAATTGGGTGCTATCGCGTGATGACTCACTTAACGACCAACATGATTTACAACTGTTCAACCAGAGAACAGGTCTGATGCTTATCATGCTGAGGTTAACTAATTCCCATCGCTATAAGAAGTGTCAAGAAGTCCTTCTCTAGCCCCACATTTTCTTTTGGACGTTTTTAATTTTGCCCATGTTTGAAAGCCATCGCTCACCTGTTGCACAGGCACCTGGCTACTTATTCAGCGTCCTTTGAAAGACCCCACTCGCTCCTGAGCCTTTCCCAACTTTGCTGGTCACTATAATAAGCATTCTTGCAGTAATATATTTCTTCCTCTGCCGCTATGCACTTTTGGACTTGGTGTGTAGCATTTGTGAATGGATTTTTTTTGGGGGGGGGGGGGTGGGTTGGACTAGATGACTTACAAAGTTCCTTCCAACTCTGTTAATCTGTATCTGTAAAGCCCCGACACCAGACAACTGCCGGTTTAAATAGAACCACCCAACAGCAGCAAATTGAGAATAAGCATGGATTGATCTACTAAATCTTCAAGTCTGGACACGTATCAGAGAATTAGTTCAATTTTTTTTTTTTTTTTAAAAGATAAAGTACTTCCAAACACAAGGAAGAGATCAAATTGCTTCCTATTATTCAATAACCACAGCGGTGAGGCATCTGCATAATCTAACCGTGCATAAATTAGCATGGTTCATTTGCATAATAATAACAAGTTAATAGATGCTTAAAGAGCACAGACCAACACCGGTTTTAAATCAGAGATGCCTCCCGGCCCTTTGGCCTGTATCAATGGGGAGGTTAGGGAAAGGGACCGCCGTTCACCAGGGGAATAGGCGGCTTCCTCTTCCTCTGCCGGTGCAGGAGAATTGCAACTTTGCAGTATTGCAACTGCCTGGAATGATAAATGCACTTGTGCCGTCCCCTGACAAGTACAACAAATGTTTTCATTGGGGTTAAGGATGGGCGAGGAATAAACATGCCGCTTTCAGTAATTAAATTTTAATCTGTGTAGCACAGGATTTCTCCCACTTTATAAACCTCTGTAAGGTTTGCCAATTGCACAGGGGCCGATAGGAAAGCACTCCAGAGGGTGAACGTCATTGCCCAGAGGATCATGGGTTGCCCTCTATAAAGCTTTGGAAGAGCTTTATAGCTCCCGCTGCCTTAAGAAAGTTCAAAACATCCTCAAATATCCGTCTCATCCTGGGAACCCCCCCCCTTTTTTTAACTATTACCATCTGGCAGACGGTACAGAATATTAAAAACCAAGCACAAATAGGCTGAAAAACAGCTTCTATCCCAGGGCAGTAACTCTTTTGAATTCTACTAAATATTAATGCAATATCAGGGGTTTTCAATTCAACTATATAGAATGTGAAGGATGTGTGTTTGTGTTTATTTTCATGGTCATAATGTACACGGAAGATGGTATTTAATTTAGTTTCGTTTTTAGTTTACTTTATTGTCATTGCACCTCGTACAACGAAATTAAATACCACCTTCCGTGTACATTATGACAAATTCTTAATTTTGTTGTACGAGGTGCAATGGCAATAAAGTAATGTAAACTAAACTAAACTAAACCTCTTAAGGACCATAATTGTCCATGGAAGATTTGCGCAGTCAAAGCCAGGAGCAAAAATGGGTGGCCCACCTCTAGGGAGGGGTCTAAACCACGGCTGGGATTTTCAGATTCGGGATTCCCCCAGTTGTGCCAGTTACTATCCAAATAAAAGAGAATTTTTGAGCGATGTCTTGTCTCGGAGTTATTGGTTAGAGTGGAGGGTTGCTGGAATGCTGACCAATTTTCAAGACCAATCCAATGAAAGGGGATATGCACAATAAGTTCTTCTTTCTGAAAACCAACCCAGACATGGACAAGAACGACAGGGAAGCAGCGGAGTCTCTGGGCCTAAGCCATGGCCACCGGTGACCCTGACTGGGATTAGTGGCTTCCATCCTCTTCCACCCAACCAAATCTTTCACCCAAAATAAACTCATGCAAAGAGCTTCATATAAAGAAGCGTTTGTGAAGTGTTTGTGTTCTTCTTTTTCTAAAAAAATGAAATTCTACTTCAATATCTGTGGACTTCAAGTCCCAGAATCTTCCTCGTTCTTTAGCGCACTATTTTCTCAACCTTGGGAATGTTAAAATAGGTGGACGTCAACTCCCGGAATGCTGGCTGGGGAATTCTGGGAGCTGGAAGTCCACCTATCTTAAATTTCCTGAGCTTGAGAAACGCTGCTCTAAACACACTGGATTTTGACACACAATCACTTTCAGCCAGCGTGTTGACAGGAAGGCAGAAAAGCAAATTTGCTCGGCTCCAAACTCACTATAAGCTCCGCTCCGGGAAACAGTCTAAGAGGGATAAAAAAAATAAATCTTGGACCTTAAAAGGAGGACAAAATCCATGGTGGTTTTGGACAACTCTGAAGTGATTGCTTTTTGATTTAATGGGGCAGATTTATATGAACCACAAAGACTGACACAATTGCTTGTTGCAACTTCATCCACAGGAATCAATGAGGCAGCAACGAACGAACGTCTTACCTGAGGATAGGGGAACCTCCCGAGAGCGAGCTGGAAGGAAAAAAAGAAGAAGGTCTAGTTAGAGAGATTTGCATTAGGGGCTGAGCAAAAGGAAGGGGGTTATTGGTTCAGAATGGTTTTGAGGGCAAAAGAGAGAGAGAGAGAGAATCAGAATTTAAAAAAAAAACACTTAATGGATAAGCAAAACGGCAATATTTTGAAAAGCTATCCATAAATGAGCAGCAGATCTGTTAACACATCTATTTGTCTGCCTGCCTGCCCGGCCAAATTCTCCGCTCGTAAACAAAATATGGGCCTTTTTCAATTCTGTGGCCTCTCTTTGCATTTTCAGTTGCTAAGAGATTGGAGCTATTTGGATGAGAGCTGTCGGTCACCATGAACACGGGAAAAAGTGCCAAGGTGCTTGGACGGCCTCCATCCACCGAGGAAGCCAAGTCCTGCCTTTTGCTCTGGAAGGCAGGCAGCCTCCCAAAAACCATGGCGCTCTGCTCCCTCCACTCTCTGTTGGCTGTCTCAGTTCAGCCCTACGGCGATGGGTTCAAATCCTCGCGTCGAGCTGAGGCGCTGGCTGGGACTGCTTTTCGTTACCACGTTGATTTTGAGACAGAGGGGCTCCAAGGTGAACCGGCCCAAGAGGGTCACCGCCTCGTTGCCTTGCATCCCACGGACCCGAGAAAACGGCACCCGGGCGATCCTGGAGTTGCAACCGCAACTGGCACCAGAATTTCCATGAACTAAGCAAAGGGGGTCCAATTTCACGATCTTTTTTTTCTCTCTCTCTTGCTATTAAGTGGGTCCATGCATTTGCAGTCATTAAGCAAGTCTGGCTTTCCCCACTAACTTTCTTTAGTGACGTTTTGATGTCGATCGATGAAGAAATGGTAAGTTGAGAGCTACTTGTATACATTCCTTGGCTTACAACAGTCTGTTTAGTGACCATTCAACGTTACAGGTGGCACTGGAAAAAGGGACTTATGTCTGTTTTTCCACACTTATGACTGTTTCAGCATCCCTATGGTCACGTGATTTACATTCGAACACTTGACAACTGGTTCATAATCACTAGTCAAAAAGAGGGCTGTGAAAGTATCTACAGGCCCCTCACATCCCGGACATAAACTGTTTCAACTCCTGCCCTCAAAACGACGCAATAGAGCCCTGCACACCAGAACAACTAGACCCAAGGGCAGTTTTTCCCCTAACGCCATCACTCTGCTAAACAAATAATTCCCTCAACACTGTCCAACTATTTGTCTGTATTACTATTACTATTAATCTTCTCTTCACTCCTTATCACCCATCCCCTCCCACTTGTGACTGCAACTTTGTCGTTTGTATCCTTACGATTTATATTATTTCCTAGTATGATTTGATTGCTTATTGTACCCTATGACTATTATTAAGTGTTGGACCTTCTGATTTTTGACTCTTGATGAATGTCTCTTTTCTTTTATGTACACTGAGAGCACTTGCACCAAGACAAATTCCTTGTGTGTCCAATCACACTTGGCCAATAAAGAATTCTATTTTATTTCTATTTCTATTCTATACTCTTTCTATTCATTTTGCAATTCTATTCTATTCTATTCTATTCTATTCTATTCTATTCTATTCTATTCTATTCTATTCTATTCTATTCTATTCTATTCTATTCTATTCTATTCTATTCTATTTCTATTTCTATTTCTATTTCTATTTCTATTCTAATTTATGACACTTGCAGTGTCTGGGGATCATGGGATCCCCTTTTGTGACCTTCTGACAAGCCAAGTGTCAGGATTCCGGCAGTTACCCCCCATTTAAACCATGAGTCTCGAGCCAAACTTCCAAAACTTCAAAAGGATTGGGAGTTAACATGTCTGGCACTGCCTGGGTGGTGGTTTCGACCTTTGTTTTGAATCTGGGGTTGCGCATGCCACTGCCATGTGCCCTACCCCACACACCCCCACATACACATTGGTAGCATTTAACTGGGCTTTGTGAGAGGGTTGGTTTTGGGACAGATCGTGGTGGTGTGCTGTCCCGTCGGCTTGGTGGCCTCTGGTCTGGTTGCCCTCTGTCTCTGGTTCCTGGCGGCTTCCTCCTGTCGCTAGCACGTAATGCCCCATGGACTTTGATGGCTCCTCAGAACCGCTCCTCAGAACCGCTACTTTAAGTTGCTGGGCTCATCTTCTGTGTAAGGGTCACCCTCTGCCTCCTCAAATCCGGCCTCTAGCAGTCGTAGGAAGTCATGTTAGTTGGGGGGGGGGGTCCCTTCTCTTGTGGAGGATTGCTAGCCATCCTCTTGCTTCTCCCCCAACCCCTCAGAAATGGCTCTAGGGGACGGGTGGAGGTGTCCATAGCGTTCTAGGTCAACTTAGTTAACGGGGAAGCCCAATCCCCTTCAGAATCACGTGACTAACTTAACAATTACGTTGTTAACTTTTAACTACTGTGGCAAGAAAGGTTGTAACATGAGGCAAAAAACTCACTTAATGAATGTTTTGCCTAGCAACGTATAATTTGGGATCAAACTGCAGTCGAAAGTTGAGGAGCTCGAGTGCGAAGTACATTAGGAACACAGCCAAGGCCTGGACTGCTTGCTCTTCTGCATAGAAGCCGCAACAAGAGATCAACATTTAGGAGGATGACAATGTCCTTTTCAAATAATACTCAAATGGGCGCAGATGAAGATTTATGCAAATCACGCCATGTTACGCAAATATATTCTGAGGGCAGAATTGGTTTTCTCGACATAGAAATGATTGCCGTGGAGAGCCCACACCTTCTGACGACAATATATTTGCAAGGTCTAAGCCAGGCCTTCCGTAGGGAAGGGCTCTGGCTTGAACAAGGCGACCCTAAAGATGCCAGCTATGGCGAGAACCTTTGTTTGACTGGGCTGGGGGTGAGGGCTCTCCCCCCACCCCTGCCCCAGTCCAAGATTGTCAAGGTAATCTGTAATCCCCCCCCCCCGAAATAGCCTGCAGATATGTCACTGTACTAAATGTGTTTCAGATTTAATGAAGCCTTAATGTCCTTTTTAATTTTGCCTGTTTCTGTATCACCAGGGGTCGAGCAAGGCAATCAACACTCGAGAGGATGGTTTGGTTTAAAACTAGGAAAAACTCATTTGCTTATGAGTTGCACTGTATTTTCTTAATTAAATTTACTGAGTAAAATGGTTTTAAGTTCAGCCAACCAATGACCTCTGTATGTAGATTTAGATTTATAAATAGGCTAACAGCTAAAGCATGGAAGCCAAAAGATTGGAGGGCGGGGGAAGAGAAGCTCTCAGATAAAACAAATTAGGGCTTTGCATTGTTCCTGCATAACATGAGCAGTGTGGACTCCACTGATTTATAACCCTCAAAAGGAAACGGAAAACAGAAAAGCACAGCGAGAAGGTAACCCGAAAAGTCTTGATAGCACGTTGTAAGTTTGAGAACAGAGTCCTGTCTTCCGCCTCACCTCTGGAATCCTTCTGGCTCAGCCACTTAGCGTATCTATTCCCCCACCCAGGAACATCTTATTTTAAATCCTAATCATTCTAATTTGTCGCCCTCTGCTCCAGAACTCCAGAACATTCCTTTAAAGCAGAGTTGCCTGCCACAGGCTGAGGTTGCAGGAAGAGGCGCCTCTCTTGACCATTGGCAAGACAATGCAGAAAACAGGCAGTGGCTGACCAATAACCTCCTCAGCCTCACCTCTGAAAGCCCCTGGGGAAATACCCAAGAGATGATGTTGGTTAAGTGTGACCTCTGCCAGCAAGACAGGACCAAGGACACCGGACCAAACCACAGGCGATATGAAGATACTGGAAATTCTACCCCCAAGCCAAAACAAGGTAAGATCTGAGACAACAGAGCAACTAAAGACATTCCGGTCTCTCTGTCAGGTACCAAGGTAGGTAGCTCTTACGTCCCAAGTTCTCAACATGACCTCCATGGCCATCAATAGGCCTGAGACCTGTTCCTTGAGAACCATCTTTGATTCTTCTACATTAAAAGAAGTTTCAGGTTAAATTGGAAACCATTCTTAGATCATAATCTAAATATTGATACTTCATCCAAAATACGGGTTTCTTCATGCATAGAACCTATATGTTAATTATACGAAATCTAACAAATTTTAATAACATGAACTTACTACCATCTACATTTTCCATGTGATTGTGTTGTCTTTGGCCTTTGTACTCATTTTAGCTTGTTCAACCATGATTCTTAGTCCAAAACATGCTCTATGTATATAGATATTGATAATTAATTGATATTTTAGAAAGCTTTAACCTTAGTGACAATGTTTAGAATGATTGTCTAGTGCAGGCTTCCTTGCCTGGTTGTCTTCCAGGTGCATTGGTTGCACAACTGAAAGCATAAGGTCCCTTCCAACTCTGTTATTCTAAGTTCTAACCATCTGAAGGGACTTTAGCTGGAACACATTAGACCAGGGGTCCCCAAACTTGGCAACTTTAAGACTTGTGGACTTCAATAGCTGGCTGGAGAATTTGAGAAGTTGAAGTCCACAAGTCTTAAAGTAGTCAAGTTTGGAGGCCTCTGCGTTAGACAAATGTGATCTAAAACAAAGTTGCTAGAACTTTTAAGGAAACCTGACCTGGAGTTTTATAGGAAGCATTGCTTCTGTCAACCCGGAAGCCATTTTGAAGCACCTTCAGGGCTGCCACAGTAGGGCTGGCTGTAGCCATGGGAATGGGAGGGGGGTTGATAGAGATAGCTGGGGGATTTGTAGCCATAAGAAGATGGAACCAAGGACATTCTCACCAGGTGTTGGGAAGGCGGGGACTGAAACCAACTGGAGTTTAGATGGTGACCAGGTGACAGACATATGGGCTGGGGGAAAGAACTTTGATTTTTAATTTGGGTGGAGAAAACCACAGGACTTTCAGAGTCGGGTTTTCACCAGATTTGCCAGATATGATATGCCTAATAAATCTGAACTTTGAGGAGCACCTTAGCCTCAGGGTTTTGATAACGTTGAGTGTGTTACTTGGAACCCTGACAGGTTGTTCTGGTCTCTCAGGCATGTCTCTT